AATTATTTCCATCTTTTTTTTTTTTTTTTTTTTTCTATAACGACAAAACGGTACAAGGTTTTCTTCTTGACTGTATACATATATATGAATATGTGCGCAAGATTTCATTCTTGAGAACATAAAAACATTTTTTTTATATAATATACTTATTACGTATATATAAACAGTTTAACTTTCAATTTTAACGAAATTTATATTTATATGTGTATATTTACGTAGAATAAATTTTTTTTTTTTTTATTTAAAGTAAATAAATATTTAATACGGCGATTGCTCGTACACTTGCGTAGCTCACGTTTTCTTTTTTTTTTCACCAATTTCTTCTTTTTATAAACATAGGTTTATATATATATATATATTATATACATTAATAAAGGTACCATATAATATATATCACAACAACGAAACACTAGATTCTCTTTTTCGCTAGTCAAACCCATATAGAGATTTTTTTTTTTTTTATAATAACGGATTTTCTTTGTGCCTTCCTTCTAAATTTCGAAAATCGAATCTTCTGAGAAGAACGATTCTTTTTTTTTTTTGAATTAAATAAAATTCACTTTTACGAATTTATATGAGAAAAATTAATTAAATTTACATATATATATATTTTATTTACAATAATATAAAATAATTAATTAAATTCAGAAATTATTAAATTATTTCTATGATAATTATAATTAAATTATTATATTTAATAATTATCATTGAAATTTGTTATAAATATTTAATGACAATTATTAATTTTATGAATTTATTATATAGAAAGTTATAAAATTGTTTCCTATATTGGAAATATATTTGTAATTCTGATAAATTAAAAGTTAAATATTAAATAATCCATTAAATTATTGCTATTTTCAAATTAATTTTGATATTTTATAATTTTTCAGAATTTTTTTGAACTTTTAATCACACGTCCAATTAATAGTAATTTTAATTAATTTTTTTTTTTTATTCGTAAATGGATTTTATACATAATGGTATGATTTTCATTTTTTTTTTTTAAACTAGATTTATACTTTTTTTAAGTAAAAATTGTTTTTTCATTCATAAATAATTATTAGCTATTAATAATAAGATTAAGATCTAATAACTGTTAGCTAAAAATGATTTTCAGCTATAGTGTAATAGCTTTTTAGCTATATATATTGTAGCTAAAAATTAGTGTTAGCTGAAAAATAATTTTTTATTATAAATAACTTTTAGTTAAAAAATGATTTTCATTTTAAAACTACTACCTTGTTTTTTTTTTCGTTTTTTTGTTATATATAAAAATGTTCATTTGTCAGAAGACTCGTGTCGATTTTCATGAAGAAAACAGTTGGCATTTTGTTTTTATCTTTACATTTTTTTTTTTTTGCATATAAAATTAAGGAGCGAAGGTACGATATAATGTATAAAGGCTACCATTTTGAACGCAATGTACGTCCTCGAGTTCTAAAAAACGGTTGTGTTTTTTTTTTTTTTTTTTTTTTAGTGCATGTATATATATATATAATATATTAGTTTGGGCTCGAGCGATTGATTATTGGCTCAAACTTTGACTCACAGCCAGTAACAGACAGACATACGGACAGACAGACGGGCGAGTAGGTAGTAGGTATTTTTTTTAGTAGTTAAAGTAAATATAGGGACTAGGTAGATGGGTATGCAGACAATCAGACAGACCGTTCGAAGAATTCACTAAAGTCTTGTAGGTTTCAAAAAAAAATAAAAAATAGTAAAATTTTATTTTTATAGATTGAATCTGTTTTCAATGAGGGAAATATAATTTTTTGTAGAATGATTGTCAAAGTAATATATGCAGGTAGATTTATAAAAAATAAATCAACTTTTGCTAATGAGTATCTTGATTGAATTGAAATTTATTTATATATATGTTATATAAAAAAAAATTATGGTTTTATGAAAAAATAAATATTAAACATAAAGTTGGAAACTGAGGGTTTGCAGTATAGAAAAAGGCATTTCTTGATGTTAAGGTCATTCATATCTAATTTTATCACGTTGAAGAATAACCGACAGGGAAAAAAAATATATATATATATATATAGAGAAAGAGGATGAGAAAAATAATATTAGCACAAAATTGAGTTGAATTTTCTATCTCTTTCTCTCGCGATCTGTTAAGTGTTGACGTGTAAGGTCGATGTCGTTGTGTATCGAATTTCCGATCAATATTTCATTTCTTCTTTCTTCTTCTTCTTCTTCTTGAAAACCCAAGGCTTGGATTTCACAACTATTAGATGTAGCACTTTCCTTATTTTCTCTCACACAAAGTTTTGACGAGCCTTCAAGAATAAACTGAAACATATATACCGGGCGTGTCTGGTCGATATCTCAAACTGAGAGAGAAAGAGAGAGAAATCTCATGCTAGAGCAGCCTCCTTGAAAAATTCTTGTGTTTAATCAATAATTAGAAAAATTTTTTTTTTTTTTTTTTGGAAATGGAAAATAAATTTTGAACTTTTGATTGTTTATTTGCTTTTTTTTGTGATTAGAGTTTGTAAAAAATTGTTCTGGTTTAGATAATGTCTGTTCATAGGGGAATTTTATTAGAATTTCGATCGTTAGTGTGTGAAATTTAGAGTGGAAAAATTATGTAAATGTGTAAGGGAGTTACTAATAATTAAGGAGAAAAATGAATAAAGTAACTTTTACTGCTTTTAAAAGTAAAACCGAAACTGTCCGCAGTTTCTGCGCATTTCTGGCAATTTTTACTTCAGAAATATAGTAAAATTTACTATTTCCGGAATAATTTTTACTATTTCAGGAGTAAATTTTACTATTTCTGGAGTAAAAATTGCTAGAAATGCGCAGAAACTGCGGACGGTTTCGATTTAACTTTTACAGTAGTTAAAGTTACTTTTTTCGTTTTTCCAAAAGTAAAAGCGGAAATGTCTTCAGTTTCTGCGCATTTCTAGAAATTTTTACTGCAGTAATATAGTAAAATTTACTATTTCTGGAATAATTTTTACTATTTCAGGAGTAAATTTTACTATTTCTAGAGTAAAAATTGCCGGAAATGCTCAGAAACTGCGGACAGTTTCGGTTTAACTTTTGAATAAACGAATAAAGTAAATTTAACTACTTTAAAATTGAAACCGGAACTGTCCGCAGTTTCTGCGTATTTCTGGCAATTTTTTTACTCCAGAAATAGTAAAATTTACTCCGAAATAAGTAAAATTTACTCCTGAAGTAGTAAAAATTATTCCGGAGATACTCCGGTTTTACTTTTACAGTAGTTAAAGTTACTTTATTAGTTTTTCCAAAAGTAAAACCGGAACTGTCCGCAGTTTCTGCGCATTTCTGGCAATTTTTACTGCAGTAATATAGTAAAATTTACTATTTCCGGAATAATTTTTACTATTTCAGGAGTAAATTTTACTATTACTGCAGTAAAAATTGATAGAAATGCTCAAAAACTGCGGACAGTTTCGGTTTAACTTTTGAATAAACGAATAAAGTAAATTTAACTACTTTTAAAAGTAAAACCGTAACTGTCCGCAGTTTCTGCGCAATTTCTGGCAATTTTTTACTCCAGAAATAGTAAAATTTACTCCTGAAGTAGTAAAAATTATTCTGGAGATAGTAAATTTTACTATATTTCTGGAGTAAAATTGCCAGAAACTGCGGACAATTCCTGTTTTACTTTTGGAAAAACGAAAAAAGTAACTTTAATTACTTTAAAAGTAAAACCAAAACTGTTCGCAGTTTTTGCGCATTTCTGGGAATTTTTACTCCAGAAATAGTAAAATTTACTCCTAAAATAGTAAAAATTATTCAGAAGGTAGTAAATTTTACTATATTTCTGAAATCAAAATTTGCCAGAAATGCGCAGAAACTGCGGACAGTTTTGGTTTTACTTTTAAAGTAATAAAAGTTACTTTGTTTTTCCATTTTTCTCCGTGTAATAATAATTTCTCAGTTTTGCGATTTGAAAATAAATTTTCTTAGATATAAATTTTTTTGAATTGTAATACAAAAAGATTCATATTATTAAATTACATTAAATTATACTGATTGTGCAATTAGATGATTTTCATTTGCGATTGTATAATTTCAATTATATGGATGGGAATGATTAAGATTGTAAATTTGATTGGAATATTGCTCGAAATTTGTTTCGATTGTGTTTAATTTAGATTATTTGATTACGAAAATAGCAAAATAAAAATGAACTATCTGACTTTAGTGAATTCTTGAATTTTTTTTTTTTTTGACATTACCCGCACATTTATATTTTAGTATTAATATACGCTACTTATATAGTTTAGTAATTAGCATCAGTCTCCGTCATTCAATCTGGCGCCACACAGTATTTTTGCTATTAAAGTGTTCCTATTATTTTGGAAATGCAGTTTCCGTAAATTTAAAAAAAAAAATTAATGTTCCTAAAGGCTTTGACTTAAATTTGTTTCTTTTGTTTTATATAATAAAACTCTCGATATCTAAAATTTTTTTTTGTGTGCAATAACACTTTCTGTTCAATCCACTTTGATCGTACAGCCGCTTAATTAATTTCGATTTGGTTATAAGTATATATAACTGCTAGTGTGGCTAAATTGACGTGTTGTTTGTCTTTACAGAAATTCACCCTTCATTCTATTTTTTGCGGAACTTTTTTTTTTGGTAATTTCTTTCTTCAGTCGACTTTTACGCATGTCGACAGTTTTCAATTCTTAAAGCGTTTTTTTTTACGATTTTAACGCGTCTCTTATTCTTTTGAAAGAATCGTATAATTCAAATAGTCGAATGACGAATATAACCATTATAACCTGAATCGATATCTCAATAACTAACCTCAGTGCGTTTATTTCTCTCTCTCTCTCTGAAGGAGAAAAGTTGTCAGCATTCCTTTGTGTCTTGGGAAGAAGCCATTTTAGTTTTATTTTCGAAAGAAACGAAAGGGGTTCAGCAATATTGAAGAAGGAAGGAGACACTGAAGAGAGAAAAACGATGACTTTTCTCAATCAGAGACGAACATTTTAGGGGCGTTTCTATTTTTTTGAATAGTCTTGGAAACACTTAAAAATCAGTGTCACTTTAATGATTATTAATAAGTTTTTTTTTTTTGGACTTTTTTTCGCACTTTTTACTTGGCTTCAGCGAGTAGTACAAGATCGTCGGCTACAACATCGCTGATGTGTAAATAAATGATCCAGTACATCAAATTGAAACAGACGAAGCATACAGGAAATACGATGCGTGAATATTTGTCGATATCCGATGGCGTGATACCTGTTGAAATAGATTGTTAAATTAGTTTTTGATTAGGTTTGGTTTTTTTTTTTTAAAAAAAAAGAAAATACGAACGAATAAAAAAGGAGCTACATAAATAAAAACGTAAACGTTTAATGAAAAGGATTATATGAGACATGCTACAGCTGAAGTCCATTAAAATGCAGGGTGTAATTGGCAACGGATACGGAAACAAGAGAGATAGGAGATTCTCACTCTCTCTCTCTCTGATTCTGCGTCAGCTTTCCGATTACATCCCGTATAAGTTGTAATTAAACACTTGAAGGAGCAATTTGGCTGACGGCAATTGAGATAGGTGTACAGAATATGTCTAGCGCAGGTAACATGGCGAATTTAATGTCAGATGAAACGGTTTTCAATAGAGGCAGAGAGGAGCACTTTGGATGTATACATCTACTTGCATATATAAATTTAAACCCGTTCCATATTGCTCTAGGTTTTGTTTTTTTTTTTTGTTTTTTTTTGATTAAATAAACCCGCATTCTAGCTACAGAAATCTATAGAAAGGTACCTGTTATCGTCCCCTTACCTAATATCGTCTCCCTGGGCTTTGAAGCTGTGGAGAAGGAAACATCGGAAAATAGCGTTACTTGGGGGGCCGAAAAAGGGTCAACATTTAACCAAAAAAGTTTTTTTTACATATATAAATTGTACAGTTTTTTTGTTTCCTAATTTTTCACACATACAAAAACTCGAGTTAACTTTTTTCTAAAAATTCACAGAAAATTAAAAGGCATTAAAATAACCTGCAACTATTATTTTAATCCAATTTTGCTTATTTTAATACCAAAATGGATTAAAAAAAGCAAAATTGGATTGAAATAATAAGCGTTGCAGCTTATTTCAATGCCTTTTAATTTTCTGTGTTAGCATTTTTTTTTTTTTGATATGGAATAGGAAAGAATTTTGTAACTCGAATTTTAGTTTTGTGTTATTTTCAAGAACCTGAAATCCCATTATGAGTTTTATTATCACGGAGGGAAAAATTAGAATAGTGAAGTAGGTATTAGTAATTTTTTTTGGAATTTGGAGTCTATTTCAACTTCTCTGTTGCTACAGAATAAGATTAATTTTAATATCTCTTTTTTTATTTGGAAAAAAAGAATTATTATTACCATTACCTTCATCAATATTAAAAATTACATGGAGAAAAATGAAATTTGAAAATTATCTATTGAGTCCTAGTATAATTGAGGAATGCGGATCCACAATGAATTTTAGAAGAAGAGTTTTAAATTTTTGTATTTAGAAATAGAAAGTGGGAATGTAAACCAGTAGCGTATAAGTAACAAAAAATTATGATTATACTATTTTGAAAACTTTTGGACTGAATACCAAACAGTTTTAGAATAGTTGATCAAATTTCATCCTGAATTCGCATTATTAGACTTTTAGAACTCGATACAACATCCTAGTATTCAATATTTATATTTTAATATAGAATTCTAAAAATTATTCGCTATATTTAGTGTTCAGTACTATAATTTTGAAAATTCGTTTTTTCTCCGTGTATGTTTAAAATTTTGTATTTCTCTTCGTGATACTCATTTCGTACAAAAAAAGTTTTACCTAATTAGTTATTTTTTTCAAATTTTTTTAAATAGTACCAAAATTTTGAAAAAATTGTTTTGGAAAATATATTTGGGTGACGTTATTCGGGTCCTTTCCCCTAATCCTACATTAGATCATATTCTTTGTACCTCAATTCCTTAAAAGTTACCTTTCTTTTATTATTTTTCTTTTATTTTTTTTTTGATTCAATATTGATTTGATTTTGATTTTGTTTTTAAAAAAAAGGATGTAAATGTGATAACATACCATAAAGTTTGCTGATATCTTTGCCAGGATGAATGAGATGTTGTGGTACAGGTGGAGCTTCTTCGTCGGCTCTACCGTTTATTGTATTCTCTAGTGTTCCACCTTTACTGTGTGCCTTGGGGTCGTGGACCTTGAACCGCACCTCCTGGACAACACGGCACCACTTACAAGAGACACGGCAGTTCGCTTAGGGTTGTCCATTTTAGGATAACCCATTTTGCAAAATTTTTTTGTTTAGGTTTCATTGAAAAATTTCCATTTCCGAAAAAATAATTAATTTATAAAATCGTTTTTTCCTCAAAAATTTTGAATTTTAGTTTTATTGATTCGAAAGAAATTTTCCAAATTACCCATTTGAATTTATGAATGAAAATAATTGGGGAAAAAAAGGAAGTGATTATTGTTTATACTCGATTTTTTTTTGTATAACAAATAGTTTTTTTTGGTATTATTGGAAACAAAAATTTTTTTTTCTGAATATAGTGAGATAAAGGCGATTCTTTGTGTATAGTAGAATGGGGTATATTAAATTCGATATTATATTGCGAAAATTGGAAAACATCGAATAGAATTTTTGTGTTATCTGAAAAAACATTGTTTAAATGTGAAAGGTTTTTGATAAAGGTTATATTTGTAAACGTCAAAGCCATTTCAAGAGTGCTATTCGTATTGCATTGACATTGCATTTATTTGGCAAAAAATATTATTTTTAAAAAAAAATGAGAAAACAAATTTTAAAGTGATTTTCATAAATGTATGAAAATCGAGAAATTTAATTGAATGCAAATTAGCAGAATTTCAATATTTTCAAAAAAATGTCGAGTTTATAGAAATAAATTTTTCGATAAAAAAATTAATTAAAATTCTTAATTAATTGTTAATTACTTCTGGTAGATAAAATATCTGTACAATTGATTGTTAATTATTATCTATTAATTAATAATAATTTTAACAATAATCAATTATTAAATGAAAATAGTTACCCTTAATAATATAACAATCATGACCATTGTTAATTAATTAACCGTATATTAATTACTCAATAATATTGATAAACTAATTAATAATAGTAATATATCCAATCAAATTATCATGTGCGTGTCAATCACAGTATTAAATTATAATTACAATTGAATTCAAAATTTAAAAAAATTTTTTAGTAATGAACAAAAACAGTGAATTAAAAAATAATTTGTCATAAATATAAAAGTGTCGAAAAAAACCAAAAAAAAAAACTCAATAGGAATTAAAGTACGTTCTTTGTTACAGCTGCTATTCGAATAACAATCTGTGCTGTTTTAGAAACTTTAGATTACAAAAGTTTTCAGAATATATTGAAGTTCTGTCGATTGATATTTTTTTATGGATCTCAAAGAAATTAATTACCGAAAAAAGTTTATTCTACGATTTTTATAATAAGAGGAAAATTTTAATATATATAGAAATATTAGAACTAGAATTTGGTTTTTTTTTTAATTTTTCATTTTGTGAAAAAAATCCGGTGTAACAAAAAATTTGAGAAAAATGATTTTAAAATAATAATTAATTAGATGTTTAAATTTTTTTTCCCTCCGATCACTTTTTTTTCTTTTTTTTTTATTCACCACAAAACGCGAGATTGGAAGAAGTTTATAGCACCTATTGTACTTGGTTTCCGTTCTACTTTTATATACACGTTGTGAATTAATGTTCTTCTCCTGAAAAATATAGGGATTCATTTTCCTGGATTTTTTTTAACTTTTAACCTTTTGATGTTGAACAAAATTGGATACATTCGAGTTTGTAACGTCACGCGCTTTGTGTAATATAGCTTTTGTGTATATATATACGATTTTTAAAAAATCGAATTTTTGGATTTTTTTTTCCCGTTCTAATTCTAAATATGTAGATCAATTTTTTTTTTTTGAAATTAATAAATAATTACTATTTAGGGAAATTTAATTTTCGATAAGAGGAAATTAATGTTAAGGGGGTGGATTTTGCAAATATATATTTATTCAGGACGTGCGAGCGTAGGTGTATTTTTCGCTCTCTCTCTCTTTTTTTTTTTTCGTCGCCTTTGACGTTGCGCGATTTGGGTCAAACAGCAGTAGCAGCTGGAAAAGGACATTTTCGCGTTTTTGAATCCACAACCACGTAATGCGATATACTGCCAACTCTGTAATTAGAGGTTTAAAAGTCAATTAACTAGTTTCCGGATGCGGAGTAACGCAGTATCCGTTTCTGCGACTCAGAGGGATGCAGTGCTAATTATACGCTAATTGTTTGCTAATTTTCTTCTCGAATTCAATTTACCCACATAAGCCGGCTTTAAAGAGACCTCTTAAATTGTGTTTTACAAGTTTTCCCACCCTTAAAAACAAAAAAAAAAAATTAAATAAATAAATAAAAGTGAATTATTTTCGAAAAGAAGATTTTTATTTCGTTTCTTCGACTATTATAAAACATATTTATATATAAAAAACTAACCTTTTTTTTAAATTTTAGAATAATTTTCACATAAATCTAATAATTAAGGTAAATAACTGTATTTAATTAAAAACTTGTAATTGCGTAATAAAAAAGGTTTTTAGGTTAGAAAAATAAAAACGTGTTTGGGAACGGCACTACCAACTTAATAGCGTTAAATTTACGTAAAAATTACTAAATATACACTCAGATAAATAGTACATTTGTCTCAGAGCCTACTAATTTGTTGCAAATATATTTTATTTCATTTGAATAAAAAATTTATTTAAACTAAAGAAAAATTTATTTATGACAAATAAAATTTTTATTTACACCAAATAAATAAGTTAGTAGGCTCTGAGACAAATATACGTTTATTTAATTCAAATATATTTTATTTGATTCAAATAAATCATTTCTCTGGGTGTAAAAAAATCTTTTTGGTATTGTTGAAATTTTTTTTTTTATCAAAAATTTTGTGATATAGCAAAGAACATTAAGAAATTATTTCGAGTATAAACAATAATAAATTTTCTATTGCAATAAATGTTATTGCAACAAAAAAAATTTTTTTAGTGTTTGTTTTTTTTTTGGTAAAATGAAAATTAAAAAAAAATAGTAAGATAATAAAATAGGAAAAGAAATAAAATGAAAAATTGAGAAAATATAAAAAAAAAGTTTAACTTTGTGTGATTTTTTTTTTTGATGGAAGAGAGAAAGATATGAGAAAAAGGATTTTGGAAAACATTTTAGCTGGCGTTACTCACAGTTTGTTTGGGTGCGTGATCACCATGATCTCCGGGAATACCAGGAGGTCCTGGATTTTCCCTGGCAGCTTTCATGCTCTCTGCTATCTTTTGAAAGCGATTCTTTCTCATTTGGATCCTTTTCGCCATGTACCCTACTGTGGCGTATTCTGCGGGAAGAAAAATAACATTAACCACTCTTCATTTTTCTTTTTTTTTTTTAATTTCTTTTTCTTTTCTTTTTTTTTTTTAACTACATGTCAATTTTTTTTAGCGCGCAGAGCTAGGTTAATTCGGAATTCTACTATGCTGCGTTTATTATTTTTTTTTCAAAAAAAAAACTAGAAACTAAATTTTTGAGGGATTTTTTTTTTTTTGGAAGGAAGATAAGCGTGGAAAGCTTTTTTATTATCTTGCTTATACAATCAAAAAATGATCCTTGTGGCAAAAAAAAAGAAAACAATAAAATAGAACTTTTATTTAAAAAAATTTTTTTATTTCAAATTGCAATAATTCTTATTTTTGGATCATTTTCTGAATTGTGAGGGTTTGGGAGAAAAGAAAAAACGTCACCCTGCAGGCAAAAAAAAAATTTACCTGAAACAGGGAAACGTTTCACTACAGTAGCAAAAGTTTTACTTTTGTTTCAGTTAAATATTTGGCTATTCTAGTGAAATCTTTCGCTATTTCAGGGAAATCTTCTTTTTCCGTTTTTGTGTTTAAGTTCAGAGCACTTTATTAATTATATAATTATAATTAATTTATGGAAATTTTATATATTATTAAAATTAATTGAATTGAATTTTATTAAATTTAACGTAAGTTTGTATAATTAATTTATATTTTATTAATCTGTTTCGATTAATATTTTGCGGTTATGGAATAAAATAGATTCATTGGGAATATAATAGCCGAGATATTGAACAAAGAGTGTGTGTGTGTTTCATATTATTCCAATTTTCGGGGATTTCTGTATATATATATATATATATATATAAAATCTAAATTATTTTTGACGCTTTGTGGGTATATAATGTTCAAAATTCCAATGAAAACGTTTATCGAAATGCCACAAATCATTGATTAATATGAATAGCCATTGCGAAAATTAATATTTATTTCAGGAAATGAATTTTGTGCAATCAGATTTCACTTTCATTATCATTATTATTATTATTATTATTATTATTTATATAAATATAAATAAGAATATAATAATAATAATTATATTATATAATATAATAATTACATAAATTTATATATTTTTTATTTATATATTATTATTATTATTATTATTATTATTATTATTATTATTATTATTATTATTATTATTATATTATAAGTCATATTTTCAAGATTTTTGTGTTATTCGATTACATTAGGTTTAGTCTTGATGCCACACTTATTTTTATCAAATTTGAAAATGAAATTTTTTATAGTTTTCTATATTACCGACCCCGCTTTAATTTTTTTTTTATTATTATTAAGAATTATTCTTTATTAATTTAAATTTTAATTGTTTTCTTTTATCTGTTTTTTTCTATATAGTTAATTAATAATTAATTTATTAGAATTATTCTTTTTTTTTTTGTTGTAATTGTAAATATTATAATAATTATAAATATATAGATTCAAGTGCAAATTTATATATATGTTCTCTGGACTTATATACAAATTGGTGACGTATTTATTTTGCTCACATATTATATACACTGAAAAACAAATTTATTTGATTCAAATATACTCGATTACTTGACTATTATCAAATAAATATTTATTTGTATCAAATAATTATTATTTGAAATGGTATTTGTTTCAAATACAAAAATTATTGGTTCAAATACAATTTATTTAATTCAAATAAAAATTATTTGGTTCAAATAAATATTTATTTGATAATATACTCAAGTAATTGAGTATTTGAATCAAATAAATTTTTTTTTTTTTCAGTGTAGGAATGAGAAATAATAATTAAAACAAAAATCGTTTTCAAAATAGAAAATAATTTGAGGGATGTCTTCTGAAATAGCAGATTATATATTGAATCAATTTTGAACTATATATTAATATTAAAGGTAGGATTCTAAATGGAGCTATATATTTACTTTTGGTGTGGTATATTATTATTATTATACCTGCTGCAGGCGTAAATTTCTATAATATTCAGTTTCAAGATGAATTATTATATATATATATTTCTCGCTGATACTTGAAAAGACATCCTTTTTCTTCAAGTGGTATTATTTGGAAGTTTCGCGATTTAAGTTTCAAGATTTTCGTGAGTGGAATTGTATATATAATATCGTTCTTAGGAATTATTATTATTATTATATAGGGACCAATTTTCATCTTGATTTCTTGATTCTTCTCGATACTCCCAAAATTTTTATTTTTTTTTTGATGATTATCTCACATTGATTTTGGCAACTATGTTTATATATATATATATAGGTCCAAATTCTCTTAGCGCGGCGACGCGCCTGCTATATTACTCTTCTGTGGTTGACTGCTCTGGAATTTACTTTGCGTGACGTCACAGGGTGCGCGAATCGATAAACGGATGCTATTTCATGAAAGCGCGCGCGAGAGAGAGAAAAAATTGTTGTTGGAGAGGGTTTATTTTTTTTTTTTTTTATAAAAGAGAAAAAGAAATTTTCGAATTTTGATTTAAAAAAAAAAAAATTTATCTCGGCAATATTAAAATTAAATCCATATATAATGATGCAACTTAGGATTTTTCTTTATTCTAATAACAAAAAATCATTTTTTTCTATTTGCAAATGTATACCGAAAGCAAAGCTGGATATCTATTGCATTTTTGGTAGAGAGAAATATTTTCAGTCGGATCAATACCCACCTTTTCAGTCTTTTTTTTTGTTTTTTTTTTTTTATTTTTTTTCAAATTCGGCTTCTGTAAGGCTTAAAAAATTACGTAATGGTTTTCTTTTTGGAATTGGTAATTAACCGTTTGAGTAACAAAAATTACAATTCTATTTTTTCGAATAGTGAAAAAAGAATATTTTTTTTTTCAACGAAAATTAAGAAATTTATTTTATTGAAATAATCGACTATTATCAAATGAATATTATTATCAAATAATTTTTGAAACCAAATATAGATTGAATTAAATAAATTGGAAAAAATAATTTCTGTATTTAAAACAAATATTATTTGAGACAAATAATTATTTGATATATAAATAAATATTTACTTGATAATAGTGAACAATTATTTGATATAAATAAATATTTACTTGATAATAGTGAACGATTATTTGATATAAATAAATATTTACTTGATAATAGTGAACCGCGATTATTTGAATCAAATAAATTTGATTTTCATATATTATTTGACTCAAAAGGTTAATTAAAATAAATTACAAAGATTATGTCTTTTTATATATGTATGATTAATTTAATGTTTATTCGAATGATTATTTTTAAAATAATAATTTTAAACAATTATTAAAATTATTATTATAAATTATTAATCAAGCGATTATTACAATGATTAATCTAATAATTATTTGAATGATTAACTAAGTATAATGAATGATGGATATAAATTATTCAAATATCTCTATATTCTAAATATATTATAATAATAATATATTATTAATATAATTAATTATTGTTTACAGTCCCAGTGATTTAATAATTGTATAAATGATATACATTTTTAATATATAGAGAAAGTGTTTTATTGTTATATAGGTATATAATTTTTTTCTTTTGTAATTTTTATTTTTTTCTCACGCATATCGTTGATTTCGATCATAAATTATTATTTTGAAGAGAAATATATAAAATATGACTATATTTCTCGTGCACATGGTGCCACTAATCTACAGTCTTCGTATAGATATATTTATATATATATATATATAGGGACAGCGAATTGGGGGAGAAAAATCGGTCAATTATCATGATGGAAGTTGTGGTTATGGAGGGTTGAATGTTAGATGGAATATATATATATATATATATTTTTTTATCTTAAAACTCTCTGAGAGACGTGAATTTTTCTCCATTACTCATTGAGAACATTAACAAAAATCTACGCTTTGGATATATTGTTCCCGGCTGATAAGAAGTTGAAAACAAAAATTTATGAAAATCTTAAAATAATCTCATTTTTTTATTTCTTACACATTTAAAATTTTTCTAACCCTATTTTTAGAATTCAAATTTTTTTTTTTAATTTTTACTGAATTTAAAATTTTTATAAATATATTCTTTATACACCCAGAGAAAATATATATTTTTCTCAGCAATAAATAAAACCTTTTTATTTGTTTTAAATAAATTTTATTTGGTTTAAATAAAGTTTTATTTGGTTTAAGTAAAATTTTATTTGGTTTAAATAAAATTTTATTTGTCTCAAATATATATATGTTTTATTTATACGTCGAATAAAATTTTTATTTGAAACAAATAAAAATTTGTTGGTGCTGAGACAAATATATAAACGTTTATTTGATTCAAATAAAATATATTTGGTTTAAATATAATTTTTCTCTGGGTATATACCTATTTTATTATTAACAATGTAAATAGAATCGCATTACTTTTTCATCGAAATAATAAGAATTATTTAAAATCGTAGAATTTGATGAAAAATTGTTTCTAAAAATTGTATTGGTTAATGAATATAATTTTAATTCACCCATTTAAAGTTTGACATTTTTCATTTTATTGAACGTCATATAAACCATTTGTGTATATATATACTTTGTCGAAAAGAATATATATCTCACTGGGATAAAAAGATTTATTTTTTCATTTCAAAAAATATGATTAATTGTTTTTTTTTACATTAAAATGCTTATCGCAAATGTGATTAAAAAATCTTATTAAAAATTACATTATTAATTTTTTTGAAAAAAAAAATATTTATTTCCAATTTGAAAAATTTTGTTTGATTCAAATAATTTACTTGACTATTACCAAATAAATATTTAGCAAATAATTGAATTGTATTTGGACCAATAATTTCTGTGTTTGAAAAAAAAATATACTAAAAAATTATTTTTGGTTCGAGTAAATATTTATTTATGCACTCAGAAAAAAATTCGTTTGAAGCAACCAAATTTTGGTTAAATCAACAAAATAAATGCAGTTAACCAAACATTTGGTTGCATAAACCAAACGTTTATTTAGCTCAATCA